GCCAAATTTGTTCTTTGTAAATTTACAACATTCATTTTTGATTGTTCTTTAGTTGCTGTTTTTGCATGTTGTTTTGCTGGCTCTTCTTGCTTCCCTTTGCATCACTTCATGGAAGTTTTCTCATGTTTCTCTATATTTGCCGTTTTAGTTGTCTATTGTTTATCCCTTTCTGGTTTAGCTATTAGGACTTCATTTGTTTCAATAGAGTTTGGTAGGGTGCTTTCTTTACCAATTTTGGAAAATAATTTGTGTAGTATAGAGATCAGTTGTTCTTTAAAATTTTCATCAAATCCAAACTAGATTCTGGTAGTGGAGGTGTTCTCCGTTTGATAAGTGGTATTCATCTTGGTATTTACCCCACTGCACCCACTCCTGAGGGTCTCCCTATTATACAATCTGTAATAGACTATTCCTATTGAATATATTTTATGTACAGAACAAATAAAGCTGGTTTACTAAGAAGCTACATATTGTAGGTGGTACTTACTATATTTTAATAATTTCCAGTGGTATTTCCTAGCTATTCACCTCTAGATTTTGGTGGGAGCAAAGTTCGTACCAAAAGAATAAGCAATGCTAACCCTAATCACGTAGCCCAAATGAATAGCTCACATTTTTATACTACATTATGGTTTACAAAGCAATTTTTCCAGATACCTTGTAAGGAAGATAACAAGTTGATTCCCATTTTGCAGATTATGAAAACAGTCCTAGTTAGGTAAAAGTAATTGATGTATTGTCATACAGCTATTAAGTATCAATACTAGGTGTCAAACCTACATCTCCTGTTCCATATTCTTTCACAGGTGCAGGGTCTGAAGTTGAAAAGATTTAAAATGAATTGTCAGTAATTGAGGACCATTTTAAGAGTAAAGCCAGAAAGGCAAGTCCTGCCTCCAGCACATATTGGCATTGTGACATTGGACAAGTCACTTACCTCTCAATGATCTAGACAATTCTCTGTGCCTGTAGCAGAGAGGGTGCATACTTAGACTGGCAGAGAAAGTTTCCTCACCTGGACCTTCCCCATACCAATGAAATCATAGATCCAGTCCCCATCTCCTATCTAAAACAGTGTGCCAAAAAGAACAGCAGACTTGGAATTATGTCCAGGATCTTCCACATTCTAGCTCTGTGTCATGTCACCCCACTGTTTTCATTTGTAAAATGGGATCAGTGATAATTCTTGCCCATTTGACTTCACAGAGTTGTTCTAGAGACAGTGCTTCATAACCATGGTGGTAAAGTACTCCATAAATGTAAGCTATAATAATAAGTAATAAATAAATAAAACCCTAGTAACATAATGGCTTAGCCATTTGTGCAAGTGTTGAAAGTGACAAGAGAACATCTCTAGCCTGAAAACAAAACTTAGTTTTGAGTCCTGAGAAGAAACTAGTGCCACAAAGTTCATGTTAATAGATATTTTTCACCTTGGTGCTTTAGATAAGATATAAATCCACTCTTTATAAGTTTTATACTATTGTATATCCCTGGTTCTTTTTATAGAACAGTGCATTTATTTTTGCATTTTCTTTATTTGTTTTTCTTTTCTTCTCCAGCTGTGTGATTTCATGGGGAAGGGGAAGGAGGAGCATGCGTTTCTCAGATCAGAAACCTTCTCCACCTAAGCAAATCAGGAACTTCTATCCTTAGAGAGTTACCTGGACAGGAAGAGGTTCAGTGAATTGTCTGGTCCTATTGTCTGGATATGTTAGAGTGGAGGCTTGAACCTGGGCCATTCATACTATGAGACAGGCACCCCACTTTGCCTCTCCCATGCATTGTAAATGTCAGGGTGACTGGACTGATTTAAGGGGCTGGGCTGTAGTGATTTGACTTCCCACTGCCGAGGCATTCCATCCTCCTTTTGTACTTATCAGTTCAAATCCTGTTTCTGCCTCAGCTTGCTACGGACTTTCAATAAATTATCATTGCTTTTGCTGTCTTTGCTAATTAAGGAATCTGTGTAACCTGGATCCAAACCCCAGATTTAGACGTAAGACTCTAACAAGACATTCTGTTTAGTATCCTTATGCTGGGATACTGTCTGATCCAGTAGCCTTGTATCATCATTCTTCTCTGTAATTATTCTCCCAGCCCCTTTTACCTTTAGAGAAATTCTAGGTGACGTAATATAATCTTCTACTTCCATGGTAGGACCATTGTTTTGTATAGTATTTGGTGATTCTTTATTCAGCCTGATTTCATATGCCTGAACTGTGAAACTTTTTGTAATGTCTTAGCTCATTCACTGTTCACTAAGTTGTTATGTTATGAATTTTATTGCATTTCTATAAAAAAAAAATGCTCTGAAATACTCTAGACAGTCTGGAACTTCATAGATAAGGATATAGCCTTCATCAGCAGATATGCCTACTACCCTATGCAGAGCTCTTTCATACATGCCCCAAATTTTACAAGTGGCATTACTGAAAGGGCTAGCAGACTTTCTCATGTTCAGTTAGCATTGCATGGATACAATTGGACAGGGAAAGCTGTCCATCAGTTCTCAGCTTTATTGTATGACTCATTTTTTCCATTCCCATATTTCTTTGCTGTCATCCTTTAAACTATTTTTCCTATGTAATTCCTTGAGTCTCATGATGTGCAGTGGCCTGCTTATATTCACAATGAACCTATCCATTGCCCTCAAATTAAGTACTTCAGAGATTGTAGTGTTCCAGCAAAACAAAAACATAACTTTTGTCAATACACAGAAAAAAATTAGAATATTTATTAAAATATAAACATCAGGAAATATAATTAACTCTCCCTATATAATGACATAGGATTTTTCTGATTATATTATCATATTTATCTCATGCTTTATGTTAAAATATTTCCTATATTGAAAAAAGAAGACAGTCATTTTAATAACTAGATTTTAAAGTTCAGATAATAATGGTGCCCATATGCATAAAAGTATCCTTGTTTGAAAGTGTATCATTTCTTAACCTCTCAGTTTGATAGTTCCATGATTTGCTTGAATGGTCTGGTTTCATCTTTCCTTGGTGATTTTTTTGAAATTTGAAGTCTGTACACTTTAATCCTAAACTCATCTGTGGAGAGACAAAGTAATATAGTAGAAGGCGCATGAGATGTGGAATCAGAGGACACTGGTTTCACTTCTTGGCTTTGCATTCTACACCCTATGTTATTTTGGGCAGGTGATTCAATTTCTATGCGTTTCAGTTTCCCCATCTATAAAATAAGAATAGTGAACTTGGTGGACTTGCAAAGTCCCTTTGAGATTTTCTACCTGAAAGCTTACTGAAATTTGAGGGTCTTGTATTCAGGTAGAGCTAAGCATTTCCAAGAATTACTAAATTCTTGAGTTCACGTTTCCTTTAGCCAAATAACATTCATTTGGAATGATGTGTCTTTCAACTGGTAAAGGATGACTGTTTATTTTCTGTAGTAAATGTGACCTGTTTCTAAGATGCAGGAAAAAAAAATTGTTCTGTAAGAAAAATGAAATGAGTAAGAATAGGTATTGGTCAAAAATCAGGTTTGTTGTTGCTTAGTCGTTTTTCAATCGTGTTTGACTCTTCGTGATCCCATCTGAGATTTTCTTGGCAAAGATATAGGAGTGCTTTGTCATTTTCCTTCTTAGCTCATTTTACAGATGAGGAAACTGAGGCAAACAGAGTTAAGTGACTTTTCCAAGGTCACATAGCTAGGAAGTGTCTAAGAGTGGATTTGAACTTGGGTCTTCCTGACTTCAGGCCCAGCACTCTATTCCACTGTGCCCACCTAGTTGCCCATAAAAATCAGATTAGAAATATCAGAAAAAGGTGTATAATATACCTGCACATCTCTTTCAGAAAAAGGCCTCTTGCTGGTCATCATTGATCTGGCTTCAACAAAATGAAGTCCGAATCCTTTCACTGTAATTTTGCATAGATAGAGGTTTTTTGAGTTTATATTTAGAAATAAATGGCTGCCAATGTTTCTGACACTTCATTTTGTCAATTGAGAAATCTGCTTAAGCTACCCACATAGTAGAAATCAAATTTAATTTCTTTAATAATCCCACCCAAGAAGCAGCTTGAAAAGAAGCCAGATGAATCAATGGCACTATGTGTTCATGTTTTTCTCTTCTCTACAGAGTTGGGGGGTGGAGGAGGAGGAGAAAGATAGGAGGAGATATTTCAGTAGAACAAAGAATCCTAAGTTTAGATTTTGGCTTCAAGATTTACTAGTATGTGACACTGGGAAATTTCCCATTGAATCTGAGAGTTGCAAGGGACCTCAGGGCCTAGTGAGGGCCACACCTTACCAAGAATCCCCTCTCCAGTATCTCCCCAAATGGTCATTGGACCTCTGGCTAAAGACCTCCAATGCCCTGCCCAAGGCACTTCATTGTATATTTCTATCACTCTCTTAGTTAGGAATTGTTTTTTTTTTTGTTTGTTTTGTTTTATTTTGTTTTACTATCAAATGCTGTAAGTGGGCCTCTGGACCACTTCTACTAATTACTCTTAGTTCTGATTTCTGGGGCTAAGATGAGTAAGACTTGTCCTTCCCCAAGGCCTTTCAGTAATTGACCTCTCTCATCTTTACTTTGCTCATCAAAACAATCAGAGAAAAATACCTTGTCAACTCTAAAGTGCAAAGCAAATGTAAGTTATCTACTAAAATCTTAGGAGACAAAAGTGAATCAAGTGTATACCTGGAAATAGGATTGAAGGTCAACATCAATGATTTTCTCTCTGCTTTTGAAATTGGGCAAGTCTGGAGACAAGGCAGACAACTGAGGATTTTTTTTTTTTCACTTAACCTTGTATAAATGACCAGGTGAACAAGGAGCACGTCTTTCCATGCACCATGTTGTAATTGGCTAGTACATCTGTGGTCTTCATAAAATTGCCAGACTGTCAGGTATTTCATTTAAAAGGAGTTATAATTTCTGAAATTACAGACCATTTATTAGAAATTTTCCTAACAGCTTTGACTAAAGTCTATTTGTGTTTGTTTTTTTTTCTTCTTCCTTGTAGACCCTCGGAGTTATACTGAAGGCCTTAATCACTCAGTGGTGATGTCAGACAGCCCAATTGGAACAAACCCTGCTCTGTTTCGGTCTGAGAGGCCAACAACTCCTTCTTGTCAACGGACCTTTCCATCTGCCTGTACGGCTTCAAGCAATAGCCCCCTCCAGAGAGGCGAGAGGTAGGCAGAACTTGTTGGCAAATATCACCTATTCCCCTGAAAGAAATGGGCTTTGAGTCAGGAAATAGAGGAATTGATTTTCAAATTGGATTACAGTTGCCTCTATTTTTCTCTGAATGTATACATGAGCTTAATAAAGCATTTTAAGTAAAGAAGACTTTGTTATCACTCATATTACTATATGATACTTTATTACTAAAATCTGTTACTGAAATATTAATAGTGAATTTGGGGAAATTGCTGGGATACCACTTTGACCATGACTTGGTAGCTTTTAGTTAAAATATCATGCTGTTGGGGGCTATGGACGTGGCATCAGTCCCTACATTGGCTTTGGCTATTTATCTACATTATCATCTATGACCACAGACTCCATTGGTCACAAAGCAGGAGCTTCTTATGGAGAATGGCCAAATCAGTATGATTAGCCGTATGCCAGGAGAGGGATCAGACCTCTTGCCCTAGCAAAGGTGAATAGAGTAAAAAAATTGCTAGACTAGAGATCAGGAAATTTGGGCTTTATCCTGACTATCACTAAATGAATGACCTTGGGCACGTCACACATGAAATAGAAAACTGTGCCTCAGTTTTTTAATCTGTCAAATGGAGTCATTTACTGTCCTACCTATCTCATAGAGTGGTGGTAAGAATCATATGGAGTTGTATTCATTCACTAAATGAGTCAACAAATACACAGTGATTACCTGCACAATTAGCACTAAAAAAGAAATAAATAAAAAATTAAAAAATGAATAAGATCTCCCCCCCCCACTCCCCATATCCAGCCTCCAAGAATTTACAGTCTCAAAGCAGAAATAAGAAACTGTATAAAAATTAGCATGACATATAACATTTTATATGGGTTTATTAAAGTACAGGGGATTGTGGGAATTTAAGGAAGAGAGGTTACCTTATGGATATGAGGATTGAGGAATATGTCTTAGAGAAAGTGCAAAGGATTTTAGCAACAGAAATGACCAAGGAAGTCATTCTAGGCAGAAGGAATGGTGTGAGCAAAGTCTGGAACCGGGAAAGCTTGGGTATGTCTGAGAAGCCATAAGTTTGCCTGGAGTACAGGGTACATGAAGGTACACTGGGACATAAGTAGGAAGGTGAGCGATGGCCATATTATAGATAGAATTAAGTGCCAGGCATTTGAACTTTATCAAGTTGATGATGATGGAGTTTTTGAAGGATTTGCATTAGGAAAATAATATTAGAGCTGTTCTGTTTAGGGAGAATTATGAGGAAAAACTTCATAGCACCTATATTTGTCCAAAAATGAGGCTGTCTCAAGAGGTGGTAGGGTCACCTCCCTTAGAAGCTGTTACAACAAGTATGTTACAATGAGGGTTCCTTTGGCTTATGAGTTGAACTAGCTGGTCATTGAGATTCCTTCTAACACTCAAATTCTGTCATTTCCTTTTTCTACTGCATATGATGCTGCCACTTTTTCTTCGTTTTATCGGTTCTTTTGTTATCTTTTCAAACAGTCCTTCCACAGCAGAGCCCCAATGGCTAGAGAGCAGTCCCAAATCTACTCTTTCACCACACCTGTCAATGATGGGGAGCAGCCGACCCACAGGCTTCCTCATGGGTTCAGAGTTTTCCAGTCCAGTACCGGATTCTTCACTCTTGTCTCGTTTCCCACCTTCGGAGCTGCAGGTTTCTAATCTAAACAGTCATGAAAACTCACCAGCAGAACAGTCCCAAGAAATTCTGGCCAACCCAAGTGGCCGGGCCTTTCTAAACTTTGGTGTGCCTAGCATTGGCAGTAGCCTCCAGCCTGATGAGAAGCCAGGGACCTTACTGACTAATTCCAATGGAGCATCTAAACCGCCAATTGCCCCGCTGGCAGGAGTTGTTGACAATGGCTTCTTGCCCCATAATTTTCTCACGGTAGCCCCTGGACACAGCAATCAGCACAGTCCAGTCCTGCAGCATGCAGGCTTATCTCTGCATTCCCAACCACCCCTTCCAGAAAAGAAGAGGACATCTGAAGGAGACCACTCCTTTGGCTCTGTCTCTCCGTCTTCCAGTGGCTTCTCCAGCCCCCATAGTGGGAGTACAATCAGCATCCCTTTCCCAAATATCCTTCCAGACTTTTCTAAAGTTTTAGGCACCTCTCCTTTGCCAGGTAAGTGATTTTGTTTTGTACCAAATGATCAGTAATCTCTGCACATTGAATATGACTTAGTCTTCTGAGCTGAGTTTAATTAGCTTTTTGTAAAGACAACTTGAATGCTTATTAAAAACCAAAATGCATTCACTGGCTCTCATGTAAATTTGACTTAAAAGACAACAGGCCAGATTACTCGGAAGTTTTGGACAGTATCAGATGGATTCAACTGTAATTCTTGTTCTGGTGCCAACCCACCAGCGAAGGGTGATCCAAAAAACCTTCTATTAACCTATTCTGACTTCTGCATGTCTACAAGTTAGTTTCATGGCAGGCGTCGGTAATACAGATTTTGTTAGTCATTCCATTTGCCTTTCAGGCACGATCATTGTCCTGCCGAGCTCCACATTTAAAAGAAGTTTCTAAGTGCATATTTTCAAGTTTTATAGCTTCAAAAAAGCTTTTTAATGGTCCTTGCAAACTCCTAATCAAAGTATGCTGGTTTGTTTATTTTGTGTTCTTAAAATATTTCATACTTCCCCCAAGACTCTCATTTGAATTGTGGTATTCTTTCCTCCCCCTTTTCCCCTACTGCCCCTACCACCCCAGTGGTTGAACTCTAAATTCCTAGTTAATCAGAACCTTATTGACTGAGGCGAGAAATTAGAGCAGAAAATGACCTTTGCAATGACTGCTTTCTAATTTGGTTTTGCAGAAAATCCAACTGATAAACATGTGACTGTGAAATTTGTTCAAGACACATCCAAGTTCTGGTACAAGGCAGATATTTCAAGAGAGCAAGGTATGGCATTAAAGACAAGAAATACTGACTGTCTACATTCAAAATCTCTGGTGCCAGAGACTAGCTTAATTTGCAGGTACAGGAAAAGAGGAGAAAAATCTTAGCCTTTGGGCATCTGAAAATCAAGTTAGGATTCCTTAATGTGGATTTAATTAGGCTTGGTTTAATTAGAATGCGGACTACATTTTATTGTGCTACCCTAGGGAAAAATGCTATTATCTTTAAACTTTTATTAGAAAGCTTAGCACTAATGAGAGAGAGAATGTGCCATGAGCAGTAGGCAAGGGTAATGTGCATGTGTTATGCAGACTTCTGCCCCATGAACTAGTCTTTGAATCCCCAGGACACCCTGACGCCTTCTAACTTCTGATGCTGAAATAGCTAATAATTGTGATCAGTGGATCCACTCCTATCATTTTTTAGGTCTATCTCTACTTAACTCTTCATTTATATTTTGACCACTTTTCCTTAACTCTTTTTTTTTAAAGAGAAAGAGGAGATGTAGAAAATAATGCTTTTTAAATTTCATTTTTTTCTTCCCAAAATATTTATCTGAAATGTATAGTTAAGGTTGAGAGTGGAGGAGTCATATGCATTTGTTTTATTTTTGGCGTATAATCTAATTGGAAATATGGGAATATATCCCAAGCAAACCCACAAATGTTTATGTTGAAGTTCGAAAGGTTTATATATAAGTATTTCTAATAAAGCTGTGGATTTATTGTCTTGATACCTTGCATTCATGTGGAGGGGCACCCCTAGGGAATATAAAGAGCCCTGCTCTTGACATCAGAGCATTTGGGGTCATAAAGTCATGGGACCGTAAACTAAAAGCTGATAGGAGTCTCAGAGGCCATCCCATTCATAGATGAGAGACAGGCCCAGGAAGATTAATGACTTGGCCAGAGTCACACAGGTATTCAGCATCAGAGGCAAATTTGAACTCAGAGCACTGCCTTCCCACTGAATCATTTTCCAGCCCTGACATTTAAGTAGCTGTATTGACCATTGGCAAATTTCTTGACCTCTCTGATCTTGAGTTTCCTCATTTGTAAAATGAAGAAAATACTTCTTGTGGTAGTATGTAATTAACAGGATTGTTTTCTGGATGAACTTAAGAGTGTGTGTAAATCATTTTTCAACTGTAGAATACCATATAGATGTAATTTAATTTTTATGTGGTAGGTTATTTTAATTTCAGCTCAGCTTCTTAAAATTTTAAGTTTTTAGAATTAGTCAGGCTTTCTTAGGCTCTGCCGAAAATTAACAGAATCCCTGAAAATATGACTACAGCTTAGACTGTGTATTAATTCTTGATTGGTACTATGGTAGCTTTAGCCTACCAGCAAATAAAATGTTAACCTTTATTCACCCCCTTGCCTGGAGGTTTGGCATTTGACATTTGGCCTTTTTCTGGAAGAGTTACCTAGGTACAGCAACATAGAGCTGTTATTAGCATGCTGAACTTGAAGTCAGGAAGACTTGAGTTCAAATCTCCCTCAGAGACTTGCTAGTTGTGTGACACTGGGCAGGTCCCTGAACCTCTCTCAGACTCATTTTTCTTCTCTTTAAAATGGGAACAATAATAACACAGAGTTGTCAAAAGGCTCAAATGAACATGTGTAAAGTGCTTGGCAAATCTTAAAGTACTTTATAATGTCAGTTATCATTGTCATGACACCTAAGGGGAAGCAGTGAGGGAGTGGAATGAAATACATCTCTCCTGCTCTTTGTTTGTCAAATTCCTATCAATGGACAATGCTAAAAAAAATATAAAATATAAAAATGTAGTGATTTGCTGAGTTTGAAAATGAAAGCATCCAAGGAGTTCATGGAAAAAGAAGGAAATCCTGTTTTTACTCAGACTTTTGTTTGCGTCCTGTGTGCATTGGACTATCTGATACGGAGAGCCATTTAAAAGATAGTGACAGCGCTGAGACAAAATGGGGTCTTGAGTAAAGGGGATTAAGAAGTTCATTTAAAATGCTTCTGTTTTACAGTTCTAGTTCATGGGCCTCTTAAGTGTATTTCTGGTGGAAGAAAATCATTCAAAAATCATTCTAGCAGCTTTTGTGACAAATATGTATACTCTCATTCCCCTCTTGCCTATTCCCATGCTCAATCAAGTTCAAGTCTACATATTTGGGTCATGGGCAAAACAAACAGCATATCCCTTGTCCTATATACCTGGAATCTGAGCTTTGGACTACCTCTGTTTTATTAAAAATCAGGAGTCCGCAGAAACCAAGATCAGATTTCCACCTGTACAGTGTACAATTAGAAAATCAAGAAGTCCAAAAGAAGAAATTTTGAAAATTACAGGAAAAATGGATAAATTATAATAGAATTGACAAAAAACTAAAACTGCTCGTTTGAAGAAACTTAGAAAATCAGTAAAACTTTAGCTAAGGGCAAGTACGTGGCAAAGTGGATAGAGCGCTGGACCTGAAGTCAGGAAAACCTAAATTCAAATCCAGGTTCAGACACTTACTAGCTCTGTGACCCTGGGCAAGTCACTTAATCCCTGTTTGATTCAGTTTACTCATTTGTAAAATGAGAATAATAATAATAATTATAATAATACCCACCTCCCAAAGTTGTTGTGTGGCCCAAAAGAGATAATAAATTTAAAGCACTTAGCACAGTACCTGGCACGTAGTAAATGCTATCTAGATATTAACTATTATTATTATTTTTAATTCTATTAAGAAAGAGGAAAGTCTAATTTAAAAAATTTAAAATGAGTAAGATGACAACAGAGAAGATAGAAAAATAATATTCAGAACCTTTTTTTTAAACAAAATCACATGCCAGTAAAACTGAGCTACAAAAAACTTAGATATAAATTTAAAAAAAAAATAAAGGTAGGTGAAGCCAGCTAACCAGTTTAAACAATCCAATTCAATAAAAGACCATCTGTAAATAAGCTACTTCTAAACTCTCTTTCAAGGGCCTGCCAAAGAATAGAACCCTTATTTCAGATGGATTTACAGGAGAATCCTATAAATTTTTTAAAGAATAGTTAATATCTATGTGACACACATTTTCCTCCAAAACTGAAAAAACTCAGATTTCCACAGGCAAGTAAAAAGATTATAGTGTCCAATTCTGAAATTTTTTGTGAGGCATCACACAGCACTTTCAAGTCCAGTATGTCGCCCACACTAACAATCCCTGCTGAGTCTTCCAAGTGTTTACTATCCTTTGGTGTTTTTGTGGCAGCAGAGCTGGCTCAGCTTGTCTTGAGGCGGCAAGGCTTCACACAGTCCCCTGCCACCTCGCACCTGCCGCCACCATGTTAGCTATTTGCCTCAAACAGCATGGCAGTTTTTAAGGTATATGCTTGGGGTTAGGATTGCTTATGAGACTATGTTCTCTCTCTGTCTCTCTTTGTGTGTGTGTGTATGTCTGTGTGTGTGTCTCTGTCTGTGTCTGTCTCTCTCTGTCTCTGGCTGTCCGTCTCTCTCTGTCTGTGTCATATTTTGAAGAAGAATAAAGATAAATTAGCATTGAAACGTGTTCCTGACTCAGTCTGGCTTGAGGCAGGCCTACATTTGTTCCCACTCCTCATTGGTGAACTTGGCTATGCCATCTTAAACTTAGCTCCCCAAACTCAGCCAGCATTCAGCCCAGGGATATGAGAAGTGAGTGGTTTAGATGCTCCTATTTTTTTTTTTTTGCTGTATCATTTAGAATATACTAAGGTTTTTAATTTCTTCCCTACCCCAACACACACACACACACACACACACACCCTACTTCTCTTCATTTGCATTCAACTCCAGATTAAGTAAATTAAAAAGATAATTTTAATTAATAATAGTAATAAATATTTATGAACAAATAACAAAATAATATTATATTACATATATTAAATATTATACATAATATGTAATAATATAATATTAAAATAGTATAGATAATTTTGTTATTTATTTATGTATTATAAATTTTATTTAAATCAGTAAAAAAGATGTGTTACTTTAATGTTGGTATTTATCACCCAGTTATTTAAGGTCAGCTGTCATGGACCATACAAGGTGATTTGCACAATACATGGCTACAGCTTTCCACTTTTTATGTCTTATCTCTTAGTTTACTTCAGACAAATCAACAGATAAAAAAGAGAAATGTTTCCATTCTAAATCTCTTTCCTTCTGGCTTCTACATGGACTAAATTTGTGGGTGCAAAATTGAGGTGGTGATTTTGAATATCTCTTTAGAAATCTGGCCTGAATCAAGGCATTTGCAGACTGTAAACCTCACTACTGAGTCTCTGATCATCATGCTGTGATGAGAAACTTGAATTAAATCATCCTTTTTTTTTTCTTCTCTCTATCCAGTGTAGACAGTCCTTGTGAGTTTCAAATGTTTGAGTGAAAGGTCTAACTTGTGTTTGGTGGGGCTTTTTGTTTTTGAATAAGAGTTAACATTAGTTAAATGCTTTATAAACATATCTAAGGAATAGGGCCAATGTGCTATATACTCCATGCTTTGTTGTACAATTCGGAGTGGGTATTTTTATGTGTCTCTATATTTTAGATGTTCCCCCCATCCCAGATGAAAGACATAACTTCTCCTTTCATCACCCCCATCACTTTTTAAGCTGAAAGCATTACACATACTGCAATATTTTTTGAAAAACATCTTCTCTTCATTACCAGGCAAAACATGTGGTGTAGGTCTATGTGCCTGGAGTAGGAAGCCAGGTGTGCAAACATAGGAATCCACTCTATTCGTTCTTCACAGAGAACAAGAGAGAAGAGGGATGTACTCTTTTATTTTTATTTTATTTTTTTTAATTTTAATTTTTTTTTTTTTTTGGTTAGGCAGTGGGGTTAAGTGACTTGTCCAGGGTCACACAGCTAGTAAGTGTTATGTGTCTGAAGCCAGATTTGAACCCAGGGCCAGTGCTCTATCCACTGTACCATCTAGCTGCCCCCAGGATGTACTCTTTTAAAATTTGTAGTTACTGCGGAGCAGCTGAAATATGGCAAACTGAAACTGTTCTGGAAAGGAGTGAGTGAGTGAATGAGTGAGTGAGTGAATGAGTGGGTGAGAGGGTCATTGCTCATGGTATAATGGGGACATAGAGAAGAGGCTCTTTGTGACTGCCAACATATGTCTCTTTATTCCTTCCTATGGTCCCTGCAGCTATCGCCATGCTGAAGGATAAAGAACCAGGCTCGTTCATTGTTCGGGACAGCCACTCTTTCCGGGGGGCCTATGGCCTGGCCATGAAGGTTGCTACGCCTCCTCCTTCAGTCCTACAACTTAATAAGAAAGGTATTGTGCACTCACTTACAAAGGAAAAAGTTACTTAGGGTGATTTGGGTGGTGGGGTCTAAGGCACTATCCCATGTAGAAACAATTATAGTAGCTAAAATCTGTGTCTAACTCAGAGCCAGTCAAATCTCATGATTAAATCTGGTGTCCTTTTCATGCATCTGTTTGGTTTCTCTGCTCTTGGATAGATGATTTAGTGAGTATTTTACTTTTAACATTCCTGGAGAATTTATCTATGTTTGTTTTATTGAGATAGTGCTATAATATTAAAGGACCTTTGAGTTATTCTTTATCTGCACTGATAATGTATTTTCATAAACCTAAATTTTCTTTCCCTATATAGCCTCAGTTTACTTACCCCTGCCTCACCGATCCAAGCAGCAAGAATAAGATTTGCTACAAAGATCTGTCTTTCAAGATATAATTAGATAGTGTCTGACTAGGATGTTCCATATGGGGACCTTATAATTTCAGGAGATAGCCATGGAGCCTGAGTTCTCCTCTGTATTTCCAAAGATCCCTCAGATATATTTCAACTACTCAAATAGTGTACATCTATAAACCTCCAACATTTAAAAATCAAGTTTTACCAAGCACTGCAGGTTATCAGTGCAATCATTTTATTACAAAAAAAGAATATTTACTTTTCCAGAACGAGTGAATAAATGAAAGGCATTTATCAAGCTTACTGTGTTAACCACTGAGAATACTGATACAGAAGCAGAGATAAATCCACCAGCTTACATTCTGATAGGGAGAGACAACACATAATGGAGAGTGTTGACCAAGGAAAAGAGTTGTGATTTAGAAATTTAGAACTTAGTTAGTAGAATGGTAGGAATTGACTCAACCCTTCCAGTAGCCATAGAAGTATTGATTGGTTTTACAATTCAGAAGTGGAAAATGGAGGGAAGCGTAGGTTATAAAATCAGCAGTAGGGAAGAATTTAAGATGTGGGCATTGGGAAGGCTCTTGTAACTGGTTGACAAAGGGAGGGTGTGAGGCATAGTCTGGTAATGCATAGGTTTGGCTGTTTAGGTGAGTTTTTACTCACATGTCCATTAATCAAGACATACCCTTCCTGCTCTTTTGACCAAAGCTCATATTGGGGGGATCAGGAAATGTTTCATTAGGTGGAGGGAGGCTGGATCTCTTACAAGATGTCTAATATTTTGATAGCTAGTAATGGAGCTACAACACCTGGCGGAGCACCCCAGGTGGAGGAAATAATATGAAGAAGAGGTGCAGAGTCAGAAAAGTTAGGGAGACTTTGAGTTGTCAAAATTACGTGGAGAATAGAGGTGTTGTGGCAGATAATATTTGAAAGGGCATTTAAACCCAGACCTTGGAGTTTTTTGAATTACACGTGAAGGGCTTTGAATATCATTATCACATTTCTGTCCTATGTTAAGGCTTATAAACCACTTTCCTAAAAACAACTCTTTGAGGAAGGTGGTATACATATACATATGGAAATGTTAAAAATTTACAAATTTAACTCCCAGTCATCAGTGGATACATTTTCAAAGAATATGAAGTTTGTTTTTTTTTTCAAGTTCTCAGCTGATGTATGTTATTTCCCTTTATAGACTATAAAATCCTTGAGGACACAAATTATTTTCCTTTTTCTTGCATCCCCAGAGCTTAGCATAGTACCTTGCAATAGTAAGCTCGTAAGAAATGCTCATTGATTGATAATGGGGGGGAAAGTGGAAACACATTGTAAATAATCATTTGAAAAATGCACAACCTCATTAATAACTACAAATTAAGACAATTGTAATCTATCCTTTTGTACTTACCACATTGGCAAAAATAATTCAAAACAACCTAACTCGGTGTTGGCAGTCTTGTGCAAAAAAATAGGAGTTGTAAATGTTTTCTTCTGGTGCCATTGCAAACTTGTAGAAACTATGGAGAACAACCAAGGTGTATAGAATAAAAGTTATTAAAAAAAAAAAGCCAACCCTTTGACCTAAAAATGCCATTGTTGAAAAGATACCCTGAAAGTTTTGAAACTCTTCCCATCTCTCATAAAAACCTCTTAAAACTTTGTTAGCATTATTTTAATTGCAAAAAAAGAGAAGCATCCCAAATGTACAATAATAAAGGAATGATTAAGTAAATGGTAACATATTAATGTAATAGAATATTATAATCCAATTAAGGCAAATCAGTAGACAGAATTGGTTGGGCTATTTTATCTGTTGAAATCGGTTAAATTAAAGTAAATAGTAAACAAGTAGAATTAGGTATATTGAGTTTCAACATTGAGTTTTTAATTAAATATCTTATTTTAAAAAAAAAATGAAGAAGACTTAACACATTTTCTGTTGGCTTTTAGGTCCTACCTTAGAGTACACATGTATAAATGAATGCATACACATATATATATATATGTGCAGGTATATATTATATTTGTGTGTACATATATGCATATTTTCAGCTCTGAAGAACAAATAAAGATCATTTGGAATTCATTAGTCTGTTTTGAAATTCAGGTGGTAATACATAAAAAAATATCCATAGTTCCATTTTTTTGTAAGGTTACTTTAAGGAGAACATGCCTTCCCTGATCACTGTATACTTACGCCTTTTTTTTCTATCTTGCTACCTTTGGCCTCATTGTTAACTTTAAGGTAACAAAATACAGGATGTTTATAACAAGAAACTTAAGAAAATCATAATGCATGAAAAACAATGGCCGCTTTGACTTTGTCTATTGGCTGAAATGATGTCTTGGCTACTGTGCCGTCAGCTATATCCGTGGTCTGACAGGAGGATTTCAGAATCCAAGAAGAGGGTTGGAAGGCTCACTACAACTAGCTCATATGCACACTGAGTCATCATAACAACATTAAATACCATGGAGATAGGCTGAAGGAAGATGCTATTCCACTCCCAATTGAGTCCTTCTCTATATATGATCCCCAGTCCCTTTGATTTGAAGTTATTACTTCTTACCACTGGCATCCCACCCAGAATTCTAACTTTCTATTGGTTTTTGTAGCATTGGCTTATTTTGTCCCCTACAATTTGGTGTAGCCAACATCTTCTTCCTATTTTTGTGATTTTTTTTTTTCATTGCTTCTCTCCAAACTAGTCACTTTATTTCCCTAGGCTTCACCACCACATCTCAAAATTGCCATTTTATATTCAGAGTTTGTATTGGATGTTTTCAGACAGAGAACACTAATTCTTTTCCTTCTGTTCTTTTTTTTTTTTTTTGTATTTTTCTTTTAGCAGAATGACTTACCAGTCAGTGGAACATTATGTTGTATTGTGTAGTTTGAGTTCTATTCTTAGTCTGCCAAAAAAAAAAAAAAAAAAAAAAGCAAATATTGTTAATGACCTTGTCATCTGGTATGGTGGAAAGACCACTGTATTAAGAGTCAAAAGACATGCTTTTAATTTACTTTAATTTAATTTCCCAGCTTTTTATTACCTGTGTGACCTTAACCAAGTCTCTTCATCCTCTGGGCCTCAGGTTAATTCCTGTAAAATGAGGGAGTTAAAAAGATAGATGTATTTCCCAAGGTCCTTTTCAGCTCCAAACATGTGATCCTGCTTGAGTTTATTTATTAAGAATGAGAACTTTTAGGGGGCAGCTAGGTGGTGCAGTGGATAGAGGACTAGCCCTGGATTCAGGAGGACCTGAGTTCAAATCCAGCCTCAGACACATAACACTTACTAGCTGTGTGACCCCAGGCAAGTCACTTAACCCCATTGCCTAACCAAAAAAAAAAAAAAACAAAAAAGAATGAGTATATTTAGGAACTTTAAGTGCTTTATACTCACACAGACACACATATATATAATATGTGTGTGTGTGTGTATATATATATTATATATATATTCACATGTATATTCATTTTGTGACCTTATTCCCTATTCAGAAACTTTCACCCACTTCTATTACTCCTACTCCTTCCCCCCCCTTTCTCCCCCACCCCCCTCTTCTACATTTTCTGGCGGATGACTTTGTTAAATCAGTGCAGATATTCAGTGCCTCCCATATTAATATTACAACTGTGAGATTGCGATATCCGAATTGTATTTTTTTCATTCAGCATCTTCATTGCCAGGACTGCAGTCACTAAACACATTCATTATTTGGCAGCCTGTTTACCTTTGTCACCAATGCATTGTCAGGAGAGATCCCTTTTCCAATTTCTGCTTACCCCTTCCTAAATGTCTCATTTAATGATTGCTTTTTTTTTTTTAATCTTTACCTCAGCTGGAGATTTAGCCAATGAACTCGTCAGACACTTTTTGATTGAGTGTACATCTAAGGGAGTACGATTGAAGGGATGCCCAAATGAACCATATTTTGGTAAGTTCCCTGGGAAACTGTTTTCAGAAGTCTATAAAAACATGGGGAGAGCCATTTTGGTCTCCAAAATGAAATTCACAAATCCTGCTATGGTGGTATTTTGCTTCCCAGGTCAACTTGTATTGCCCCAATCCTGGAATGTCTCTGATATGAATTATCATTCTTAAAACATTTTTTCCCTCATTCCAACAGCCTCAAAATGTACTTAGTATACCAAAAAAAATTGCCTGTAGTGAAAGATAACAGAATTCCCCTATTTTCAATTCAATTTTCTATTAATATAACAAATACCTGTGATTGTATTGTTTACATGTTAGTCATGTCATCTAGCTTTAACTGCATTTGTAACTGATATAAGTTGATTTTCTTTTAGTCTAATTGCTAACTATTCATGTTGGATGAATGTTCTAACCAGTATAAGGAGCCAAATGAATAAATGATTGAAAAAGTGAGATAAGTACCTGACACATAGTAGGCACTTAATAAATTTGTGTTCCCTAGCCCTCTCCTTACCAAAGTATGAAGCACTGTAGATAGAAACAGGCTGGCTGGGCAGTCTGCCCAGAGAGTGCTTGTTAGTGTTTGTTACTTGCTGATATTAAAGGCACATTATGTATTGCTTTTGCTTCATCAGGTTGAATTGGTTAAAAATGCTGGATCGATTGAATTCCTAAATTGTTCTGTGCTCAGCATTAGGATTGCTGTTGTCCTATGGGGATTAAACTTATTCTCGTTCACCTCTGAGGAAAGAACTGGGACCATTGGATGGAAAAGAGTAAAAGTTTTACAGATGGTCCTTTAGATTCCGAATACTTAGAGCCAAACATCCACAAATGAAAACGGCTCAGGCAGCAGGTAGCATCACAGGTTTTTCATTCAGTGTTTCAATCAGTGCCTCACTTTTAATGAAAGGACCAAGTTAGAATATGATGGTGATGACACTGTAAATCATACTTTTGACATTGTTGTCTCTTTTTATCTCTTATAATCACATTGCACCTGACTATATTTCTGCCTGTGTGTGAAAGGATGGGAATGGCTGAGATGTTAAAAAAGCACAGTTAGGGACCCTTGTAGTCTCTCCTGGTTAAAGCATCAGACTCCTAAAAAAACCTTTGTAGCTCAGCTCAAAATGGGCCAGTCACTTTCTAATTGCCTCAAAGATCTCAAATAAAACCTAACCAAGTTCATCTTTCTTTGCTAGAGAAATGTAACTAACATGGGTATTATATTCTGGAGGCATCGGAACTCCTGATACTTTAGGTTAGGGTTTTGTGACTGCTTGTCCATGGCAGATTGTTATTAATCTGTAAAAACCTTTTTCTATCAGAGAACCTTTCTTTTTAAAACATAAGTTTTTAAAAACTGGCATTCTTCTCCCTGCCTCCTATTTTTCCTATCCCCAACTTCCTCCTCCCCAGCTGCTCATCTCTACCCATTAAGCCCCAAAGCTAAGCCAATTCTAGAGGGTGGGACGGTCCACAGTAGAAAATTTAGAAATCTAAGTCCCTATTATATCTTCAATTCAGAGACTCATTTTAAGCAGAAAGTTATTACCAACTTACTCTATTTCACGAATAGACAATAAAATTGAGAAATAATCCCAGTAATGTGTATATTTTAAAATGCCTGTTTTCTTTTGAGAAGGATGGTAATGGTATGTTTGCATATCAGATACCAATTTAAACTAATATCTCTCACTTTCTTTCTCTTTCTCTTCTCTCTCCTCTCTCTCCTTCCTCTCTTCTCTCTTGCTTTCTTTCTCTCTCTCCTCTCTTCCATCATTCCTCTCTCTCCTCTCCCTCCCTTTCCTTCTCTCTGTCCCTCTCTGCTTAAATTTATCTTTTTCAGGGAGTTTGACAGCTTTGGTATATCAGCATTCCATTACTCCTCTCGCATTGCCGTGCAAACTCCTTATCCCAGACAGAGGTATGTTTATTCAGAAATGTGATGTTCTCTTTAGTATGCTGGCCTTCACTTCAGCTTACTTTTGATTCCCAAAATATAACTACTTCAACAGCAGCAAACACATTTGGGAAAAGTAAAAACTGTGGCTTTCCTCCAAAACATAGTTAAATGCTGAGCTGAAAATAAGAAAGTGAAATCTAATAGAGATGATGCTTATATCCTGCATTTAGATTCAGAAAAGCAATTGTACAAATACAGAATGGGGTACAGAGTTGGACAGTTCATGTGGAAACAAAATCTGGAGAATCTGATTATCGCAAACTCTGCACACTATACTATGTCATTTCCATAGAGTAGGATTATAGATGTAATGCTGGAAAGGTCCTCAAAAACTGTCTAGTCCAACTTTCTCATTTTAGAGATGAGGAAACAGATGTTCAATAGGGTGAGGAAGCTGCTAAAAAAAAATCTAACGTAATTTGAAATTATAAGGATAGTGTTCAAATCATGAGAAATAATATTTACACTGAACTGTGGGTCTTAGTATTATTCTCAGTTCATTTTGTCGTTTTATGAGAAGTCATTGTCAAAACTGGAGCCGGTCTAGAGCAGATATGTGAAACATGTATGTCTGGGCCACGTTGTCCCCCGCAACACCCCCGAGTACAATCCAACAGATTAAAATGTAATTGCAAAATATGTAACAAGTGAAACTATGTTAGAATACGTATGTTAATATGTAGCTTCCTAAATCACTAGGCAGCCCACAGGGATCATTATTTATGGTTAAGTGACCCTGTTTCAATTTGAGTTTGACATCTGGTCTAGAGGAAGACAAGAATAATGAGGGGTCATAAAAAGAGAACGAAGAGTTAGATTTTTAGCTTAAAAAAAAAGTTGACGGGGCACATAATAGATGTCTTCAAAAACTGGAATGTCTAACATGTGTGAAAGAGAATAAAATTGTTCTGTGAAACACCAGGGGGCAGCACCGGAAACAACAGGTAGAAATTAAAAGGAGGCCCAAAATAAAATTTTCTAACAAGCAGCACTTGTTGAATGAATGAATGAATTAGGCTAAAGCCTTTTGAAGGGCTAAGTGGTAGAGTAATGGACAGATTATTAGAAATCAAGAAACATGTTCTAGGTCCAGTGTTATTATTCTTCTTTTAAGCAAGCTCTCAACGCTTCCTGAGCCTCAGTTTCTTCATGTGTTAAATTGAGAATTCTGGACAAGAATCATCTCCAAGATCTCTCTTAACTTAAATATTTTATAATTCCCAAAGCCTTTAATATCAATAGTAAATGTGTTATGTTTTCCCCAAAAGAAATCTCAGCCATGAGTTCCACTGTATGCTGGGACAGCTGTACTGCCCAGAGTGTTTCTCCCTGGAATGTTTTTAAAACTATTTCACCGTAAGTCTTGTTCACCTGTGTGGCTATTCGCTTTTTCTTGCTTCTTACAGATCCATTAGAAGAAATGGCAGAAAATTCTCCACAGACTGCTGCGAATTCTGCCGCTGAGCTGCTAAAACAGGGGGCAGGTTGGTAACTGTATCTTTTTTTCTTACTTCTACTTAATTGATGGTAATAATGTTTATCCTAATAAATAAAAGGTAATGGGAAATTCATAGAAGAAGAGAGATACAGTTATGTTTTCTACATTACAAGTTCTTCCCATGACCCTCCCACCCATTTTCTGCATCACTTAAATTCAGAACTCTTCAAGGTATTTTCAAGTTTCTGTTTTTTCCCTCCTTTGGAAGTTTGAGAAGCCAGGATGTACAAAAGTACAGCTATGTGTGTTTTGAAGTCTTTTGTCCCTTTCTCTTGAACAGTTTTTATGGAGAGAAATAAACAGCAAGTATGCAAAGTAGTTAATGAAATAGCTGGGAAAAAATCCTACAAGCATGCAGTTTGAATGTATGACCTCCATGTAAGCTTATTCAGGGCCAAATGTAATATACATACATTTCTTGTCAGGATTCTTTTAAAGCAAGGGTTCTTCACCTGCATTCCATGAACTTGTATACTCTTTTTTAAAATGTTGATTATATACCAATATAATTGATTTATAGGATCATAGGATTTGTAATCCTATGATATTTTATTTTACGTATTTAAAAGCATTATTCTGAAAAGTCTGTCATTGTCACTGTACTTCACCAGATTGTCAAAGGCATAAAAACAGTATAGAAACCATGTTTTAAAGGAATATCAGTACTATGAACGACATTGTCCTCACCCCAACTTCCATTCACTCCACTCCTCCCTGTTTCCCAGGGCCCTTTCTGGCCTCCCTTTATTTGCTTCAAAATTCCTGTCCTTTACTTAACTAGTTCTACTATACTGTCTTCCATCCTGGAATCCCTTGCCCCATTTCACTATCACTGCTCTTCCCTTTTTAGACTCCAACTTTGGATTACTGTCATCATCTTCTTTCTCCACTTCTGGTTATATGTTGCTGAGCAAAGATGGAGGGAGTCAGACAACGGTACTGACTGGATCCATTACCAATTTATTATCCAATTTCAAATGGTTCTTCGTTGCTGCACACCTATTCTTTTATTCTTCTCTGTTCAACTTTTTGTTGAATACCCTAAAATAACTATTGTAAACCTTCTCTTACATTCTCATACCATCTATGCTATTGCTTCGCTGTTCCAAATTAACAGAGCACATTGCCTAATAATTCACTAAGAGAAATTGAGAACATTAGTCATAGGTTCCCTTACAAGCAGCTAGGTGGCACAGTGGATAGAGTGCCAGGTCTGGAGTCAGGAAGACTCATCTTCCCAAGTTCAAATCCAGCCTCAGACACTTATTAACTGTGTGGCCCTGACAAAGTCACTTCACCTTGTTTGCCTCATCTGTAAAAATGAGCTGGAGAAAGAAATGGCAAACCACTCCAGTATCTTTGCCAAGAAAACCCCAAAGGGGGTCACAAAGAGTTGGACTAGACTAAAACGACCTTAAGTACCTAACAGAGTCTGATACATAGAATAAGTACTTAATAAATTCTTATTTAAGTTGACTGACCAGAAGGAACAACACCAGAAAAGAATGTACATAATTAAAGTGAAAGAGCTACGGTCTCTAAAAACGAAAGAACTGGGACTGTTAGTCCCAGGGTCTCTGAAAGAATACTCATATTTCACTCGCCTTTTTTTGCTCTAAAATACTTAAAACCTCTAACATTTGGGTGACAGAATTATCTGTCTAAATTTAAGCAAATGTGATTGATTGGCTTCTAGGGACTAATGATTGTACAGGTATTCTTTTATGGAAACATCAGCATTCTAAATCACTGAACTTCAGCTACCCTTGAGGTGTTCAGAGAAAATGGCTAATCTTAACGATTCTAGAATTTGACAGACTTTTAGCAGCATTGGTTACCAGAACCAAAGACAGTGACACCAACTCCTTGCTATAAAATCCTAGATATGTGCCTTCTGGAGGCCAGCAAACTTTGAAACCTCTTTCACTTAAAGTCAAAGCATATTGCTTTGTTCTGTTCAGTCTGGGACAACTGCAGGGTACACAGTGTTGAGAAGGAAGGGCAGATGTCCCAGTGAACATGCCAGACAGTCCCATCTGGTAAGTATCATGTCAAGGATCATTTAGCTCAGTGGAAATTTAATTAAACTTAATCGGGTTAAATTGTATAAATTTGGAAGTTTAGTAGGCAATCAGGAAGGACCTATTTTTATTTAGCTCTATTGTTATTTCTGGCTCATGTCTAACCATCAGCCAGTTGGGTCATTTGAGACTGACACTTTCTAAGAAAACAATCCCTGCTCTAGCTCCCAGGCACCTTGTTGGAAATTTATGGACCTTTCCCCTCGTTGGCTTAGTACTCATGTCTTTGATGTGTTTTTAAAGGGCAGTCATATTTTCCTTCCAGTGTCTGATCAGTACTCATAACTCAATTTTTTTTTATATATCGCAGGAAGAGCTGCTCCTGTCTAAATGGCTGGACATGATTTAGCACCCCCAATCTTTACCCCATTGTCACTTCATTAGCCTTTTTTAAAATGTGCGGTTAAAATTGGAATTGATCAGAAGTTTCTTGAAATGACCCTTATCTTTGTGAACTGAGGTCTAAATAAAGTCACACTTGTGCAGCAGGCATGGGAAAGGGAAAGGAAATGGTATATTCAGTATAGAATCTGAAGTGGAATCATGGTGATTGAATAGCACAGTGAACAGCTTTTTACATTTATCTCTGAAGATGAGCTGTGATTTCAGGAGATATACAAAGAAGAACGAAATGAAAATTTAACAGCCTTTTTTGAAGAGCCAATATCTCCTGATCGTGTCCAGAATATTGGACTTAACTCTATTTCACTGATTTATCTTAAGTCAGAGTCCTAGAATATTAGAGCTATAATATACCTTAGAAATAATTTATTCCAGCTCCTTCATGTTAATGATGAGGAAACTGAGACCCATCTCCTACCCTAAGGAGGGAACACCGGATTTAGAGTCAGAAAATTGGTCTTTATTCCAATCCCTGTAAATTACTATCAGTGAAACCTTGACCAAGTCACTCTGGCCTTCCATTTCAGTATGTATAAAATAAGAGGATTGGACTCTGTGTTTGCTCACGTCCTTCCCAGCTCTCACCTATGAACTTGTGTTAAATAACTATAATGCCTTCCTCTGTTCCAAAGCCTCTGGTTGGTTTTCCAAACCTTGCCAATTAGTTAAGCCATGTCTTCAGAGGGATAAGGACACTTTGTCCTAGTCTTCTTATATAACCACAAAATTGACATAGTTGGCATTTCTTGTTCCAGAGGGGTTCTCAGCTGAAAAAGCTGAAGGTGGGAAAGAGCTCTTTGCGGCCAAACTCAGCTGGCAGAAATATCCTCCCTAGACTGTTTCCAGCTCAGTTTGCTCAGGTGGATTCATTAAATGTGCATTTACTTGCATGTGTGTGTTGTTTTCCGTAATAGAATGTAACTTCCTTGAGAGCAGGGGCCATTTCGTGTTTACTTCTGCATTCCCAGGCCTAACACAGTGCCTGACACATAAGTACTTGTTGGTTAGTTGATCTGTAGAACACTGTTAGGTACCCAGAGGCAATGTGGAGTTCAGCTGTGACTCCATTCTTGCCTTTACAGAGCTTATTATCAGGTACAGAAGAAAATTATGCTGCATTTTTATTATGATAATAGATGTAAGAATTACAAAGTAATTTATATATCTTGTTGGTGTTATTTTACAGAGGAGGAAACTGAGTGTGAGAGAGCTTAAGTGTCTTACCCGGTTTTACGTGGTTAATAAACATGTGAGTCTGGATGGTGCTGAACTCAGGTCTTCCAGAAAAAGTCTGGTGCTCTATCCACTGATCCACTTAGCTGCCTCATCATTATAATTTTTTTTTATCATAAGACACAATCGCTACATACGTTATTATACATTAAGTGTATTATAGAGGTACAGAACAAAATGTGATATGCTAACTGTAGAGGACAGTCACTGCCATCACGTTGTATAAGGGAGGTGGTAGCATTTTATTTGAGTTTTAAAAGATGAGCAGCAATTCATTCTGCAAAAAGAAGAGGTAGAAAATAGAGAACCATTGGCAAAGCTACTGAAGCTTTGTGTTTGGTGGGGTGGGGATGGTCATCTTCTTTGTAAGAAGCATGGAAAGTTCATGCAGTAAAATAATAGGAAATAAGGCTGGACTGGTCTTTTCTTCTAAGATTCCCAATGCAAATAGCAAATGGAGTTCTTCCTTAACTGGCGGTATAGAGATCCCTAACAGCTATTCTCCTAGTCAGAAAACATTCTCATTTTATTGTAATGAAGCCATGCCTGATTACTTTATATGAAAATGAGAAGATCTGAAGCATTTTTGATGCCATGTGTTTCCAGTCACAATAAAAAAATATAACGTTAGTGAAGATTAGATCTTAGGTAACTTTTTTTTTTATAGATCCTGCTATCAGCCCTGGGAGAAAACAAAAATCAGTTAAGGAAAGAGAGAGGCCTTGAAATGCAGGTGAATGACTCCATTTTACAAGAAAATGACCATGCAGTACAAAAAGCTCTAACAGGTGGGGGATAGAAGAGGTGTAACTGTGCCAAGCAGTTGCTAAGAGCAATGAAGAAGGGAGATGTTAGTGGAGGGAACACAAAAGCCTGAATGTAAGCCACTTGGGAACTTTTTTCTGGCTCCCTTCCAGCGGTTTGTGTATTAAGTGTGCAGGTGTGAGAGACTTCTGAAAGACCCTAACTAGGGTGTGACAGTGAGAAGTAGCTATAAAACTAAGGTAGATAGTAGCAAATCTCAGAGAAAATTGATATGCTAATAGAGAGTCAGGGTCATAGGATTGTTTTTTAAAGGAAGTTAGAGATTCTCCAGACTTTCTATGGCATATGTCAAGGCACTTTTCTCCTGAACTCACTGATCATCCCAGAAATGAAGATTCTCTTTTTAAGGAGAGTAGAAACTGTTAGGGGCTAGCCCAGACCCTCTTCCAAGGTGGACTCTGGACGTTTCAGCAGACTCTTTAGTCTAGCTGAGGGTTATATGGGA